ACTCTGACCTGTAGCAGTGATGCTAACCCAGCAGCTAACTACACCTGGTACAAGGAGGATGATGACTCAGCAAAAGCATCTGGACAGAACTTCATCATCACTGACTTCAGACCTGAACACAGTGGGAGTTATTACTGTGAAGCCCAGAACACAAGAGGACGTCGCAGCTCCACCTCCCATCATCTCACTGTTGTGACAGGTGCTCTTTCTACATTTACAAGTCTGTTTATTGCAACAATTTTCATTGATGCATTACTAAAAAAACAGTTACAAAGAAAATAAGATTCCTCTCCAGGTTTTCAAAAACAAAGTGTATGCTCTCTCTCAATCACATCAAATTTCTATCTCCTTTTTAGGGAAATCAATAATAATACAGAATATTATCAGATTAACTTTGGTGGTCCTGATGCTGATTCCTCTGCTTCTTGTGAATTTGTGGATGAGGTAAAATAAAACATTGCTCTGTTGCAGAAGTGGTCTTTGACTTTCTAATTTAATAGTTTTACATTTAAAATGTGATTATTTGTTATTAGCAAGAAGAAACCTTGGAGATCTACAGCTGAATCAAATGAACTTATGGAGACAATGGAGGTGAGAGTGAGATAGAGACAGTGTCAGAATTGAATTGATGTTGTTGAAACAGCTTGTCTAATCTCTTACTCTGTTTAATATACTATCATTATCCATGCTATTGTAAATATTTTAGTAGTTTATTACAAATGGATTTTTAGTAGAAAAGTTAATTTCTGTAAAAACATTTGACCACATTTTATAAAGAAATCTGATTGTATCCATGACAATCTGTTTTGAGTTTGCTGGATGGAAACATCAGGCCAACCTTCAAGCAAAAGTTCACCATCTAATTTTTGAGAAGATCTAATCAGAAACTCTGTTACTTTGTACAGATGCAGTCAAACCATAAACAGGACTCAGCTGATGGAAACAGGAAGTAAAAAACAGCACAGTGGAGAGTGATGCTGATGCATACAGATTTATATTTTTACTTTTAGCTCCAATTATGTAAAGTTTATTTGTCAGCAGCAGAACGTTAGACTAGACTTACAGCTTATTCTTGGCCTTCTGTTACCTGTTCAGATTATGTGTAGTACAGAAGTTCTTATCCGAGGTGTATTTTTAGATTCGTTTGTTTGTAAAAGTTAAAGATGCAGTAAAAACTTCTCTCCCAACAAAAAGATGCTGATCTAGAAGAAAATATTTTACAGCACTTGCGGCTTGTTTTTTGTTAACAAAAGAGAAAAACCTGCAGCTACAACAGCTCTGTATATTGAAGATCAGTTCCCTGTGAATGCTACAGAGGTCATCATTATGCAACAAGTTTTTCAAATTGAAATAAACTCTTTATTTTTTCAGAATAGACGTTTCACGTACTTCTCTTTCAGAGGTTGATGCTTGTCATTGCAACACATTATTACAAAAGTAGAACACACCATAAAGCAAAAATAACTGCTTCATGAATTCAGACATCGCTAGATTTGATGTGAAAATAAATGCCAAGATTATAAACTCTGCCAGTTATCAGCAGCTGGATAGATTTACAAGCACAATCCCAAGACCTGACACAGCATGCTATATGTGACCTACATTAGAGCGGTCATTGGATGCATATGCAAGGATAAAAATAATGATGAGCTTGACCTCATAATGATCTTTACCAGCACCAAACAATTTAGCTAGAGTCTACCTTTATGTAGTACACTGTGACAAGGAGCCGACACACTCACAAGCAGTGATTCAGGACAAGAGTCCATTTACTCACCTTCACGGTGTCAGGGCTCTGGGTCTTGGACCCAGCTTTTGAGTTACAGCAATACATCACGTGTCTGAATTTAAAGGGATTGTTTTTTCATTTTGACATACTCTATTAGCACAATTAATCTAAATTCAGACAAAAAACATAAAATCTGAGTAGGAAGAAAACAAAAATCAGTGATGTGATGACAGTGGGTGCAAACATACAAGTACTACAGGCGAAGGTTGACAAGCTCATGATTAATTTCATTTGTAAAGGTCATTTTCTGTGGTTGAACAACTGTTAGGTTTTGTATTGTTGATTGTCATTTATGCTTAGAAATATTTAACCATATATGCTTAGAGGTGTATAATCAATTGTGTAGTGATAGGATGTGTGATCTTTAGCAGGCTACGAA